GTAATATAGAAATTTTGAAGTTTATGAGAACAATGAAATAAATAATGATCAAAGTGAAACAGTAAAAGACAGATCAGTCAAGAATCAGGAACCAGTGGAAAGTAATTTCAGAATTAAGGGGAAAATAAAGGGGTAAGTTAAAGAAAATTTCAGGTGCCGTTACTTGTAGTTACTAAAATTGATGGGTCTGCTTTCCTATTCCGACACTTGTAGGTAAGAACTTCATTGACTAGAGTTAATATCCAATCCACTGTCAGCAAAAGACACTTTTATAAAAGAACATAAAGCAGACAAAATGAAACCAAAACTAACCCTAGAGATCTGCAGACAGACCTGAAGCTAACAAGGGGAAGCTCATAAGAGCATTGGACACAGTGCACTCTTGCTGCTTTGCTGGTGTGGTGAGGGAGCACACACTTAGGAGGTATGAGCCTGTAGGCACTTAAATCTCACACAGGAATGTAATCGAATGTCATCTCAAAACAAAACAAAAAAACGTAAGCTAAAGTTAAAAAAAAAAGACATAAAAAACAAAGGTATGATTATAACACTTCAACCTAATCTGTCACACATTACATATATTTAAAAAGTAGATCCTAATAATTAGTCATTAACATGTGATCTCTTTATATCACCAATTTCTAAGTTCCAGTATTTTCTCATCCACCAAATGTATACCATATTTTCTCATTTTAAACTGCATAGCATTTATGACCTTCACCAATATTTGGTATTATATGCTCACGGTCACCTCAATGTGTTGTATATTGCTATTCTTACTCCCATTTGATAGTTGATAAATACGAGACATAGTAATGATATAGTGATTTGCCTAAATTGAAAAAGCTTGTTAAGTGTCAGAATTTGAATTTGAATCCAGATAATCTGACCTAGGACTTGTCTTCTAAGTAGAACAAATCATTAGCTTGTACTGTTAGTTTCTTTGAGGTATGTTATATATTTCCTCCACATAACTTGTCTATCTCAATAAACACCAAAATGCAAGGCATTGGGTACCTTCTATTTAATAGTGATCTAAAAGATAACTGTCATTAATTATCTTGTTTCCACTACTGGAATTATCTTTAATATATTTAAATTTCTAAGGAGAGCAACACTAACTTGCAAGTGTGCTGGAAGTCTTTACCTGTAGTATATCGTTTAACTGTTACCATAATTCCATGATGCTAAATACCTACTATAATTGTTCTTACTTCTGAGTCCTAGAGACTATCTGAAGCCACCTATCTAATAAATAGTAGAATCAGGATTTGTATCAAAGACTACAGCTCAGTGCCTCAGGCTTAACTAGTGAACAACCCAGCCCACAGTTTCTATACATTACATATTCACTAAGAGAGTTTGGTAATCCCACTCATTGTTTCAATGAGAAGAAATATTCTTCATTTTTTATTTGTTTTCCACATTCCAAATGGTTCTGAAATCTAAACATAATCAAAGTTCTTACTTTTTATCACTTACATAGAGAAAGGTGTCTGTTAGTTCTGTCTTCTAAATGGCTAGGAAACTCATTTCTTTTTTAAACTCAACTTTGCAAGTAAAATCATACTATTAAGCCACTGCATGTTTCCAAAGGCATCTTGACAAGAAAATGAATGGTACATAAAAAGGTCCTTCAGAGTTCTTGTAGGGAGGCTGAGAGATTAAGAAACTGCCTCTAACTACCGTGATCAGAAGTGCCAACCAGTGTATCTCCCACATCTCATCCTCAATTGATTGAGATATCCTTGCTGCTCAGCAAATTGGAAGCTTTGAAAACCCAAATGTACCCTGTGGTGGCAAGTGAAAACTAGAAATTTCATTTTTATACCCACTGAAGGCATGCCAAAGGGCAGAATTTATTATACCAAATTTATTAATAAGAAATAACTTGTGACATTCTTGTCAAATATTGTTTCTTAAGAGTAGTATTTACTTTCAAAATTGAATGAGCCTCACAAATAAACATTTGGAAATAGTAGAAAAAAAAATCCATTCATTGTACCATTCATTAACAAGCAAAGAGCGATGTGATGACCAGTGTTTCTGTAAATACCAAGAACAAATTTCATTTAACTTCAGAGCCCTGATATCTGTGCTTGCCAGTTATGACAACTTAAAGGAAACTTTTGTTCTTTCTCAGAGCATATTTACATTTCACAGCCTTTAAAACTTTCAGACAAATAGCCAGTAGCTAGAAAATCTGAGGGGGAAATCAAAGTACAAAAAGAAATTGAGGGCATTTCAACTGATAGTCATTATGCACCCTTCTATTGTAGAGTGAGAGACAGGCAGAAATTATAGAGAATGTGGAGCCACACTAAGTAAGTCTGGTTCTGAAGAAGGGAGCGTTTTGCTATTTTAAAAAAGAGTCATATTGCATAGCATTTTAAAAAGCCATTAGGCAGATTTATTTTATGAGCAAGAAAAAAAGGTTAAAACTGCCTACAATTTAAAGCAGGGAGTGAATTCAGATCACTTGAAGTGGGAAACTGTTTTGATGATTTGACCCTTGTGCAAGTGAGTATGATTCTTCTGAGGGCACTGAAGCTGTAAAAATAGAGCTTTTTAGTATTAATTGTCTTTTGTTTTTAAAAGAGATATCAGATTTATTACTTTGTGGCATAATAACTCAATAACTCATTTTCAAAACCTCAAGACCGTAGTAAATAATAAATAAAAGACAAATTAGAATCCTTACTCCTGCCAATACCAAAATAAGAAAGAACGTCACTGAAACTTGGTGCTGGGTGTTGAATGGGGCAAAAATATTGGCGCTCTGAAGTGACGATTTGAACAAAGTGCACTTTGACAAGGAATTTACACTGTTTGACACAAAATGGAACTCAGATTCCCAAAATGTGTGCAGTTCACTGGAGGCATCTAAGGTAAAAATTGAAGAATAAGGCCCTCCCTGGTGGCACAGCAGGTTAAAGCACAGCACTAAGAAGCTAAAGCCACTTCCGCATGAGTTCGATTCCCACCTGCCCCGGAGGTGACCACAAGGCATGGCAGACCTCTCCTGACATGCCCGCTGCTCCTCTCAGCAGTGTACTTTGTGGATCTGCCTGTTCTGCTCCCCTCTCTGTCTCTGAAGCCTCTCGCTGCACCTGAGCCTCTGGCCTGTACCCCAGTTCTGTATGAAAAAGTAAATAAATCTTTGAAAAAAAAATTGAAGAATAATGAAAAACTTTCTATTTAGTGCCTGCGTCTAATTAAAATGTAAAATATAGTATCTGTACCCTAAGAGTCCTAAGAACTTGTCATCATAGTATCTCTATAAGAAAAATACTGAAAATGTGCAGAAGTATCAGGAGGCAGACAATGTGGGGAAATGTAAAATTCAGAGTCTGCAAGAATTTCCACTTTTCAGGGTACTTTATCTGGTAATAATTAAAGCATGATAGATTTCACAAGCTTCATTGAATAGGTACTGATATAAAATGCAATCACTTTTTTTAAATGACCAAGAATAATCTATAAAATAGTCCAAAATTAAAACAACAAACAGTAGGATTTCATTTTATAAAGATCTGTCTCATGAACATTATTGATCACTCTATTGAGTCACATATAAAAAAGAGAAATGGTTTAATGACTTATCATTAAATTCTAAACATGTTGTGGCATTTAAGACCTTTAGACTTTATTATCTGCTTGAACAAATTCTGAACTTTGTGTGGAAGGATAGATTGACCTTCCTCAAGGATTTTGCTAGATATAAATAGGTGGTTTTCAATGAAGCAATTGAAAGTTTATAAATGTTTAAAGTGGGTCTTGTCTGAGCATGCAAGATAAAGATGAGGTTTTTTTTTCCTTCCTGAAAATATAGTTCAATGTAAAGTTTATAAATTTGTGGTACATAGTTCCTGGATAATTCATGTTCCTATTAGCAATTTCAAAATGCTAAACAACTTTTCACTTTTATGGGTCTCAGAAATAAATATGGCATTATAACAAGTCTATTCTCCTTCAAAGTCAGACATATGTAATTAGACTTCCAGAATTTAAATTCTCAAAGATTGAATTTGTAATGATTTTTAAATTGTCAGGCAATTTTTTTTATTCTTATATAAATTTTCACATTTGAATGCATTAGTGCATCAACTAAGATGTGACTTTCTGATTTTTGTGTTCAACTGCAGGACTTGGTAACAACAAAATTGAATATGCACATTAATAGAGGTTAGGTGAGGAACAAGGAAAACTCACCCAAGCTCTACTACTACTAAATGAAGTCACTGGTGCTGACGTTGAGCCTTACATAACAGTGTTTAATACAAAAATAAATAATACTGTAATAAGATGATGGATTTTTCAAAAATTGTACTTTTTCTTCAATGAGTTCCTTATACAGTGCAAACATGAGCTTATTCTACATTCCTTTCAATTATGCCATATCTTCGCTAAGCTAGATTTCCATAGTTGCTGTGAAAAAAATGTATGTACCAAAACAATAAATGTAGAAAAGGATATGAAGATGATACTATTCAATTTATTTTAAGATTTGAGAATGTGTACAGTGCACCACGGAACACACTTCAAATTTAGGCTGTTGAATGAAATAAGTTTACATTTTCTTTTACACACATTAGCTTTTCAAATGATTGAAATGTTGTAAAAATAGTAAGTATAAAATTGTTTTGACTTAAACACTTAACAAACAAAACTATTCTACTCATTTAAAACTGACAGGTATGAGCAAGTTAGGAGAAAAGATATAACTACATACCTTTAGAAGCAACAGAAATATGTTTTAGTTTATATAAGAATAACATCATACTATCATAGTTACGATCATAGTGAATCTCATGATCATAGAGATACTATTTTTATTTTGGTTCAAAAATAATACAAACTATTGCTATCTGGCTCATGAAAAATGAGTGTTTAATTTTATGTGTTTGGGGGAAAATGGAATTTGTATTTTGCTTAAATACATTCTGCTTCAGGCTATAAATTATATTGCACTGAAAAAAGTTTTATTCTTCTATTTCAAGGCAGTGGCCAGAACTTCCTGTATGTCAACTCATCTGGTTCCAAAGAAGGATACACTGCAAGAATCATTACTTCCCAGTACTTTCCAGCAAGCCTGGGAATATGCACTGTTCGGTTCTGGTTCTACATGGTTGATCCCAGGAACGAGGGAATACTAAAGGTACAAAAGGCAGACTACTGAGAATTGTATTTCACTGAGATATTCATAATGTGTTTAAATATTTTTGATAGTCACAAAACACCAATACAGACTCCATTAATTTCTCATTTCTTTCTGGGGTAATGGGATTTAGGAAGGCAGTGCTGTCATTCATCATAATCTTATTCAAGATTTATCTCATTCGTGACTGCCACCTGAACTCAATTATGATGCATTCCCTATGAAAGATTAGTGATAAAAGAGTGTGAGTAGCTTCAACATGTATCTTCTAGTGGCAAATTAGATATGATCAATCAATAAATGTTAGAGGATAGGTAATGGTAAAGAGAATTTTCTTCCCTAAACAAAGTAAAGACAAAGCAATTTTGGGATTTTCTATATATAACAGCTCACACTAAAAACATGTGTGCATTTACCCTAATTTATGACAAGACCTGCACCAAAAGCAAATGCCTTCAAAGAAACAAGTTAAAGAAACATTTATTCTTCTTATTATGTGAAAAATAAGTGATATTTTAAATCATCATAAACCAATTTTTGAGATCTTAATTGATAATTAAAGAAAATTTTTGACCTCTTAATCATATGTCAAGGCATAACATTAGTATTATTGTCTTGACTAATATAATCATGTTGTTTGAATAAATACAATTGGAATTTTTGTCTTTATTTCAAATATTTGCCTTTGTAAATGATAGCAGCTTTTGCTAAGTTAATTCTGTCTTTCAAGTTGTTATTTTAAACTTACCCAGTTTACTTCTCACAACTTCCCAAAAGGTTGACTATAATTTTTATTGCCTCATTGCTGTTGAGGTAAAGTTGCCTTACAACTCTGCATATGATTTAGGTATAGGTTCACACCAGCTCACAGGTATGCTACCACACCAAACCCACAATCAAGGCACCCTTCATCCTCCACGATATTTCATTATGTTCCCTTCTTCGCATTTTGCTCCCCATCTTTCACCCTCCCTCTCTGCTTGCTTGAGCTCTGCAGTCAAGTTTCTGGGGCTTGTTTTGGTCTTGTTCTGTCTGTTCCTAGTCATTGTTTCTTTATAGTCCGCAAATCTATATTTCTGTTCTCTTTAGACAATTAACTCAAAGTGTATTAGAATCTTGGCTGTTAATAGTTATTTTCTCAAGCTCACAATAGAGAAACTGAGACTTAAATTGGCTTAGTAATTTTTCCTGATCATGCAATTAGCAAAAAATCTGATATTCCATAGCCAGTATTGTTTCTCAAGTTCAGTGTAGTTGAGCAAAGAAGTTGAAGGAGAAATACTGGGAGGGAGAGAAAGGAAACTGTCCTTGTGGATTCTAGCAATTTATACAAAAGAGAGCTTTTATCAAGTAAAAATATATAAGCATGTAAAGTAAGTAGAGAATTTATATTTATTTTACATGAATGTCTGTTTTCTAGAGGCCAGTGAAAACAACAAAACATGAGGACCATGTGAAAATCTCTATTTTTTCATACAATTTGTGAAAATGTATTATATTTGCTTATATTAAATTTATATCTAGTTCAATTTATATATAGTTCAATTTATATTTATATAGTTCAATATATATTTATATCTAGTTCAATTTATAATCAGTTAGCCACTTTTTGATCCACATTATCAAATAAGCACCAAGTGAGGGTTATTTAGTTCCCATAATTCAGCTTACTACTTTCTGGCTTGTTCTGATATTTATTGCTAGCTCAGGTGAGCTATTTAATGTCTAAGAAAAGAGGTAAGGTTTGACAGAGGACAAAAAAATTTCTCTAAAAATGATTAATATAATTTATTACCCTAGATTCATTTTTAAAGAAATAAAAAGTGAAAAGGTATCTTATAATTGATATTTTTCATAGTGCTCTCTTGTAATTTATAGAAATTTATAATTGTTCAAGGATTGAACTGCCTCCCCAAACTTTCATCAGTAATAACACATAAATTAATTTATTTAAATGGCTTTTAGCCATTTGGTTATGTTTCAGAACAGTTAGCTTACCACATTGAAGTGGTCTCACTCTGAGTTGAGTTTAGAGTTAAGTTATTTCTGCAAAAACCTGAGAATGCATGTAAATGTTCCATGTAAGAAGTCACTATTGGTTTGGTTTTGATGTAATATTTGGAAAGAATTTAGAAACATAATGGAAACAGAGAGGGAAAAAATAACAAAACACTGAGAAATCACATGGTATGTCACATGCTACACCATATATCATTTAAGGCATTTTAAAAATCTATTGATAGATCCAAGCTACATACATACCATTCAATAAGGCAAGCACTGGCGCTTTTTGTATTTTAATTATTGAAAATACTTCTAACAATAGTTTTTGAAATCTATTTAATTAAAAGGTATTCTGCATTTTTTGTTGTTTCTGCATATATCGTTTATAGTTTTAAGTTTTCTTTGAATTGCAAACTTTACCAGACACAACAGAGAGGCACAATGGTTATTATGTGAGTCTGAGGTGGTGAGAAGGATGCCATTACATAAAAGAGGTGAGGCTATTACCGATAACATCTTGTGACACATATCATTGAATTCCTTTTTTTCTGCTGCATTTGATGAATAACCTTTGTGTTAGTAATTAAGAATGAAAACCACCAGGTTTACTTCCTATTTATTGAGCTAGCTGAGGTTTGCTGTGGTTAGTTTTGGGATCATCTAGAGATTGTCAGTAAATTTACAAGTGTCCAGTTAGAAGGACTTGACATCTCACAGATCACCTTCTGTAGTCAAGCAGGAGAAATCTCTATTCCCCTGGGATGATCCTAGAGTAATGAAGTAAGGGTAAGAAGTTTAACAAAGGAGAAAAATCTTACCCCATTTCAGCTTTGTTTCTCAAATGCACAGTGGCCTGGAGCCTTGAGATGTTGGTCCTCAGCCACACAGGTGCCAGAAAGAGCCAGGTAGTTGAGACACCCTAGAAAGGTTATTTGATGACCAATCAGCAGCTACCCTCACCTCTCATACATGACTATGTGATATCCCTATCTATGATTGAATAATGAATCAGTGAAAGTAAGAAGTTTCTAGTAAGAGAGAAATGTGTATTTAGTGTTATACTCATTTAACCAGTGTACTAGGATACTACAGTGCCATCATATTGACAACATGATAGCCCGTGTTAATGACTTGTCCAAAAGGCTCTGGTTATTACCGAGAGATGTTACCACATAGGCAAGTAATTTCAAAATGTCAATTGTAATGCAGGAATTCTTCTAGATATATGTTGTGTAAAAAGAAAAATGAGAAAAAAATTAAGTTCTAACAGGAAAAATATATTTGAAAAAGTTTAATATATCCTTGTCTTTATATATATGTATATATAAAGTATATTAAATATATTAAATAGATACTGTACATGAAATAGATACTGATTTGTAAAGTGTATGCTCAAAACAATGCACATGGGAATTTTTTGTTTTATTCTTTATTATTAATGCTTATTTTAACAATATACTTTTATGATATATTATGAAAGTTGTTGAGTATTTCATCTACAATTTTATTCTTTCATTAAAATACATTTTAACTTATGTTACTTTTCATTCCTGTTATATGCTGAACTTCTTAGTAATCGTTTTCATAAGTGGTGGCACACTATTTATAAAGTGCAGTTTTGGGAATACTATTCTCTAATATTGTTTAGGAGACAAAACAATAACATATGAGATATCCCCATGAATAAAACGTAGAGACATATTTGTTGAGCATATTAACCAAATATCTTCCCTGTAAAGAGAGCTTGAAAGAGCCCTAAATTTGAGCTTTTCAGATTATTTTAAGCAAAAATGTGGAAAGAAATATATTAAGACAGAAGTTGTAACAGGTCATGCTGGTGCATTGAAATACTTTATTAGATGCAATACAATTAGTGTGGTAACAGTAATGAACATGAATCAAATCATTTTTAGTGACTTTCTCCTTTTTTGAGGATATATGCAGAAATTTCCTTATATTCTGTCAGTGTTTTATTTTTTATTCTTATAGTTCCTATTGAAAGACTAGAAAGGCCATACCTATGCCTGGTATACCGGGCATTTGCTAAACTGTGTGCATGACACAGGATCCTGCAGTGGGTTATACCTAGGAGAGTTTGCCAAACAAATGTCATCTATCATAGTAAGAATCATGGGCTTATACTAATACCAAGCAAAGGTAGACCTGTAGATCTTGACAGTAGAAAGATCCATTTATATCTCAGGTAAAGAAAACTATACTAAGATGGGCTTGTGTATCTTCTATTGAAGATAATGTAAAAATAAACCTTAAAATGATACAGGAAAGAAATCACTTATGTAAGTTGCTATTAAATTATAAATTAGGCAGGAAAGGAATATACCTCTTCCCCATCAAATGCAGAGAGTGACACTCAAGAGAAGGAGCTAATCTAATTTGACCTTCAAAATAGACTTTCTCTTTAGAACATAATAAGAGCAGAAAAAGAAAAGTGACCTTAAGTTGAACAGTTATGCTGCTAAAAATTAAAATCAAGTCACAGTTTTAAGACAGAGATGTGGGAATTTGTAAAAGAAGGTATTTCTTATAGCTGCCTCTAAATGGACTGAGAGTGAAGTGAAGTCACCTTGAAGAAGACCAAAAACCAACTTTGCTTACAAGTTCATTCAGGTTACCTGAATATGACTTAAAAAAATTAATATATTCAGAATTAAAGTAACTTTTCTTACACGTTTTCATTTCATGAAGTCTGCCAATCTTTATTTCCCTTATAGATTTTGGCCTTACCACATTCTGAAGAAGTCATTACCTGTCACAAAATAACAATATATTCTCTGTTAGCATTTAATTTTGATTTCTTGTTTTAGTTAGCTCCACTTTGTGTATTTATGGTGAGAGGTTAGACTCTAATGATTTTTTTCTAAATAGCAAACTAGTTATTCAAACACATTGAATCCATACTGTGTTTGCTGCCTGTTCATTGAAACTGCCTTGATTATCATAAGTGAAATTACTATTTGTATATGTAAATTTTCTTC